ACCCATCCACAGGGAGCGTTACACAGAGGATTTAGGGGTAAAGCGTCATGATGTATAAAACTTACTTTCCAAACATTCAAGGAAAACAGTAAAAAGAAAAAAAAAAAAAACTCTAAGAATGAGAAACCAAACATAGGAAAGGGTTAACATTCAGGGAATCTGAGTGGATGATATTATTGATGCAACTTTCCTATGGGTCTTAAATTATTTCATTTCAAAAGCTGGAAATAAAAAGGATTTTTAAAAGCTTGTTATTAGGATTAAATGCATTAATACTTAGAAAGGACTTAGAGCATAAGCCTTAAAACATCAATAATCAGATAGATTAATATCCCTCAGCAAGCCTGGGCAAGGCCACCTCTGCCACCCCAAAGCCTTGTCCTTGGCCTTATCACACTTGCCCTTTGTCACCCAGTTTGGAAAATCCAGTGGAATGAAGGGTAAAAATGTCTACACAAACTGTGACTTGCCAAGTTGTGGCAAGCGATTGTCCCCTTGCTCTGGAAGTCAGGTTTCTGGGGCCAGTGATGAGATGGTGACTGCTGACTGGGTCACTAAAACTCATAACCTCAACCACTTTCACTCAGGAGAAAGGTTGGAACTAGAACCTAAGTCTCTCACCTTGTGTCTGATTCTCTTAACACTGGGTTGTGGCTGCCAGGACAACTCGGGGAGGGGACGATGATTTGCACTCCTTCAACATGGTTTTCAGTCTTCTCTCTGGCCCTGTTCCTTTTAGGCTGAGGCCAGGTTTAGACCCAAGGGCTGGACCTGCAGTGGCTCCTGAGCCCAGGGAAAGGCCAGATAGTTTCTGGCTGTGGATCCTGACACCAAGTGCATCTCCTTCTCATGTCTCTAATAGTGAAAGGCTGCAAATGCATCTTTATTATTTTCAATGCTGAAAGTTATGTCTTTCTCTTTGTGTTAGTTGGGCTCACTAGAGGAAATGAATTAATACAAAAGATACGTATAATTACATGAAGGATGTATTAGGTAGCTAGGACCAGAAGGGGAAGAGTCCTAGTGGCTGTCAGTGAAATCAGAGGTGATAGAATTCAAAATGGCAGCCTGAATACTGGCAGGCTGGAGGATCTAGTAGTAGTGAAAAGTCAAAGCCTGGAGCTCACTGCAGTCACCAGTGAGAGTCCATGTTAGGAAGCTGAAGAGTCTGCACTGGAGGTTGAGGGAAGTGGGGACAAATGTCCTAAGGCAAGGGTGAAAAAGGGAGATTTCCTTCTTTCCCTCTTGACTCTGGCAAGGCCCCCAAGCCTATTGGCTGGTGACGCCCACATCTGGGGCAGGCATCCTCCTCAGTGTGCAGTCCGGGAGTCAGTCATCCACGAACATACCCAGAACCTTACTAATCTGCTAGGTGGGTGTTATTGCCATCCAGTGGTCACATCACAATTAATGCTCACACCCTCTGTCAGGCAGCCCTGGAAGAAAGGTGGATAGGACCTTCCCCTGGGCTACTTCTCCTTCATGCTGCTCTGTTTCCATAATAACAATGCCAAAGATTAAGAGAATTCGTTAAAACAAATCTATGAGTTGGTTGGTAAACAAATGCTCTGGCCAATCTTATGATTAAATAATGGATTCCCAACAAGCCAGGGTTGGAAATTCATTTTTTATACCAACTTGCACAGACGGATTTGTTTCACTGATTAAGTATGAAGAATTCAGATACAGGTGATTTCTTCCCCAAGGTACTAATTTCCCAAGAAAAGGAAGAAGTTACTGTGTTTTCCTAATGCTATGGAATGAAAATCTCACATTAATCAGGGCCAGAAGAGATTGCTTTTTACATAAAGGGTCTTATGAGTATCTCTCAGCCAGTTTCCCCATCTGTAAAATAGCCTACTTTATTGTAAAAGGTGGAGTGCCTAAGAAACGAGAGAGAAATGAGTGTCTATAACTAACAGATAAATGAAAATGGCCCTGGAATCAGTGGCAGTGAGTCAGAAAACCTTCATTCCTCCTTCCCCAACCTTCTGATGCTTTCCTTCCAGCCTGGGGACTTGGCTTATGGATTGAATTTCATCGACCAGCCATTTGGGATCATGGGCTTCAGGTTGCTTCCACACCACAGGAGCGATTTCCTTGTGAGCAGCAGGAACCCAGGGGTGTTAGAGGGACCTGAGCTTGAAACAGGAAAAAGAAATGCAGGTTATTATAAGCCAATAGATAGCAGCAATTGAGTTTTGGAATGCTTCCTGTTTTGTTTGCTTTTTTCTTATTTTTAAAGGAAAAGAATATTACAGTGTCAGAGCTCAAGAAACTAAAGAAGCTCTTGAAACTGTAAACCAATAAAAATAATCTACACCTGTCTTTGGTCACTGTGACCGACTAAACTTAAAACTGTCAAGACATTTACCATTATGCTCTGGCGGGGACAGTGACCAACACAAGCCTCCATGTACACAAACCAGCACCATGATCCCCAGGAGGCAGTAGGTTAATCGAGCAGCCCTTCATTTTGCATCTGAGTCATAAATATAAGCTCAATCCAACTAAAAATGTGTAACAATTTGCTTATTTGTCTTAAGGTGATACTTTTTCTACAAGCACCAAGTTAGTTGTCGCGAGCCGCAACGTCAGAATCCTGCCAGCAGGTCCCAAACCCGAGGGAAGAACAACAGGAAAGCAGTTTCACGAACTTAGTTCCAGGCTCATGCTCTACCGCAGCAAGGCCCTGTTTATTTTTCAGGGTGGGGTATATATAGGCTAAAACCGAAACCAAAACTGTAAACGGGATGTAGCTGACTGCAAAGGTCACAAGGTTCTACAAAACAAGTATTATGGGTTACATTTGCTAGGCAACAGGTCAGACCACCAGTTGAACTAGCCCGTTGCTATGGGCGACAGCACGTCCGTGCCGGCGAGGTGACTCAAAGTTCAATCATGGCTGTGCCTATGTCAAGGCTCACCATAGTTGTTATTTTGCTACTCATTTATTTCATTAAAATTTCTTTACAGTCATTAAAACACCAGATTTGCTGAGTTTATGCAAAAAACAAAACTAAAAAACAAACAGGAAATGTTACACTCTCAAGAAATGTGCAAAATATCTTTTCTATTGCGTGGAAATGTGTTCCCATAAAGGTTTCAATAATATATTAGTTACTACAATTTCTTAGCTGTCATATATCAGGCACTAGGAACAACACTTCTAAAAGATGTTCACTCTGATGGCAGGTATAGTACTAATGCACCCACTGTAGGGACAAAAGCCCCAAAGTCAAGAGAGACTGAGGCCACTCTGGGACGCTGCAGGTCTCTGGCATGACACTTATGGGGACTCTATTAGTACACTGCCCATTCCACATTTATGGGATACAGTTTATTGTTTTATCCAGAGGAAAACAGGGAGGTCCGCAAAACCCCCAAGCGTCAGGAGCAAGTAACGCAACCTGGGGCCCTGTGCTGGCCTTCTCAGCCATGCCCTGATTAAGCATTGTAGCTTAATAATGAGATTTCAGTCAAATCCCTGTAACTTCTATTTCTGTTTTTGTTGTTCGATTCTTATTGTTTTATTAGTTCAAATTTCAGTACATAGTGATCCCATTCCTCGTGTGGATTTGTTTCGTGGACATCACACATCTGAGTTCTTTTTTTTGACCCCCTCCTTTTTCCCCTTTCTCTCCATCTCTCCATCCCCGTCCCTTCCAAGGGAGCCCTGCTCATCAACCTGGAGCTCAGTTCCAGAGCAGGGTGCACAGTTGAACTCCAAACACATTGGGTAACTGAGCCAAAACCCTCCCCCTTCTTTGCAAAGCCTCTGGGAGTTCCATGAATATACTTAAGGTTTCTAAAATAGTCCACGCAGTGGAGCTTCAGTCACCAGGACAAGGGTGGGTTCTGGGTACCACCCCCTACTCCAAGCGCGCAGTATTCCCCTACCCCTTCTTCTCCTAGGCCCTCTCCCCAGCCCCGGTGGGCTCCGAGATCTGCAGCGGTGACAGGCTCCGGTCCATACCGCCCAGATGCGCGGACAAAGCGCAGCTGCCATGTCCCGGGACAAAGGAGAGGCCCGAGGGGACCAATGAACGCCCCGCACGCTACACCCAGGCCCTCCAAGTCTCCGCCCGCCGCTCCGGGTGGTCCACGCGTAGTCCCGCGCCTCTACTCGCGCCTCCACTCTGGCCCTCGTCCCCTGGGTGGGGCCTTGGTGGGGACAGAGCCCTCCACGGGGACCAGGAGCCCAGAACTCAGGTTGGCCAGGGCGGTTCCCCGACTTACACAGGAGTCTGGGCAGCCCAGGGCCACGCCAAGCAGAGAGCTCAAGGAACAAAGAGAACCAGCGCGTACCGCGCTGCGCCCCGGGTGCGCAGGTCGCTGG